ATGTTAAAAAAGGAAATGTCTCAGATTGCATAGCAAAAGCCTGTAGACACCATACTGACTTCAGATATAGAAGTATTAAAGTATAACTGCCACATGCACGTTTGACAGCTCTCTATGTTCTAAGAAATGACTCAGTGATGTATCTGAGTTAAAAGCACTCCTGACAGTACACACAAAGTGGAAAAAAATACAAAAATCTGTGTGTTCGTATGTGGACGAGGCATAAGTTTTAAACGGAAAAGATGATGTGAATCTGTATTAGATATGCTGAAACAATTTTAGTATCATTGCAAGTTTACCTCACAGCCACATTCTTCTAAACTGCTTTGGTTGGCTGCAGTGCAGCTTGGATAACTACATCACAGCACCCAGAATAGCCTCAGAAGAGGCTTCTGGGAGATTTTTGGTAGAGTAATAATTCTGCAATTACAGTAGGCTGAAAACACTGCTAAAGTATAAATATCAACTTTGAGGTGTCAGTAGTTGGGCTCCAGTCCTTCTCTTGGTTTCACTCAAGTTACCACTACCCTAGTTGCCTCAAAATAACATCATGGTCAGCCACTAAAGACACAGGAAGCAAAAGCTCTCCTGTCTGTTTAACATCTTGAAAAAAATTATTCAGGAACCCATTTAACAGTGTTGTCGAAGAGGTAAAAAAACTGATAGTTACACCAAGCTAAAGCATAACATCAAAAATGCGGGTGTTGGTGAAATATTAAAGAATAAACCAAAACGTATTCACAGGTAGGCAGTTTGCTCCAGCTTAAAGATATCAGAATAGGAATTGCAGGCATGCAAAGGAAAAGGCTTGAGGGATATTCTCATTCATTATAATAATGAGTTGGCAAAGGGAGGAGCAGTTTCATCTCACCCTACATACATCCGAGCAAACATTCAGCTTAAGCTGAACAGGTTCTCATACTTGTGCAAAGCCTTATCTACTCTACTTAAAACACAGACAAACCAGTTGAAGTACTTCTGTATGAATGCGAAGCAAGCAATCTGGGAGGTTAAACCAGTTCTTAAGAACAGTCAGCTTCTGTGGCGTAATGGAAAAGACTGGCCATGCCAGGTATGCATAAACTGTAATTAAGAGAGCTCTATTCTCCCAGCTAAATGAACGGTTTCCCGGGAATCATTATAGGACTTGAGAGAAAGACAGGCAAAAAAAGCATCTTGTTTACACAGCCAGTTTCACTCATGACTAAAAAACTTCATTGACTCTTCTGCAAGTTTCATGTATCCTGGAATAAATTGAAAAGTCCTTTTTTCATTTTTTTCAACTGAGCCTGTTTCAAAGCCACAAAAATACTGAAATTGTAAAAATTACCTGTAACTCCACATATTCAACTAAGAAACATGTTGACTAATTCTAATGCTGTTTAAGAAGGATTTACTAATATTTTTGCTAACCAACTTTATTAACTTAGTATCTGAGGGGGTGCAAAAGTTAGAAATGTAAAGGAATCTGCATGGACGATTACTACAGACAGGACAAGGCTCCACTGGACAGGTACAGTTTCAGGACCAAAGATTATAAATACTAACTACTGCTCAAACATGACCTTATGACTGAGTAATAATTCCTACAAATGGTAAACACCACAAGACTTTTTCTGTTGCTGCAATTTCTCTGTCTAAACTTTCCATTTTTATGCCAGCTTTTCCAGGACAGGTTTTTGTGCCAAAGTAGTTTTTTTTTCTTTATTATTTTATTTTTTTTTAGCTTTTCTAAGAAAGTGCAAATTATTTTCAAGGGTAACAGTAAAGTTTTGCCACTCTACAAATCAGTTGCCTCAACTAGCAACCTCATACATGGCAAGGAAAAAACAAACAAACAAATCACTAGTTCTTTCCATTTTTTTTTGTTTGCTTATTTAATGCAAGAAAATCAGTCGAGATTTTCACTATCACTGAACAGACTTCATACAGATACACTTGCATTCTTCATCTCCACAAGCAAGAACCAGTGACTCTTATTTTATTTTTCTATCAAGACTAATCCAACTTCCACTGCATGTGAACATGTGCAGAAGTTGATAAAACAATCCTTTTGAACTCATATAAACCACTGGTTTGTACTATATTTGGCTGTATAAAGAATTCTTTTGGGCAACAGGGAAGTAGCCACTGCCTTCTGACTCTGCATTTTGTGATTTCCCTTGTTAGCTAGCAAAAACCTTAACCTTACGAAGTTTTGAAAAGACCTTTATTGAAATATTACCACCTCAAAACCAAATTTGAACAGAATACTTAAGTAACAATGTTGCAACATTTTTAGTTTTGAAATGTTTTCAGACTTGACATAGATTTCTGCACAGACACTGTATTTCAACAAAATATTCTCGTCATTAACAATTTTGTCCAACCTGCAATTGGATAATGGGCAGGATTAACAGGTCAAATCACCCCTAACAAGCCAATACCAAACAAAAGAAACTTCTACCTCTCTCATTCTGCAGCAGTGTACATGTTTTAAGAACAGTAGTCTCATATGCAAAGGAAAGAGCTAGTCTGTTGGTTACTTGGAAATCTGGGGAGTTAGGAATGCATTGGGACTGTGACCACTTGCTAGGTAAGCTTTCAAGCTTATGCTTCTCCCAGTTGGCACATTCAACCTTTCTTTGCCAGGATTCATACACATTGACTTCCTCATGAATTCTATCAGTAAGAGGACTTTCATTCCTAACTCCTGAAAATGGGAAGCCAAAAGAAGAACAAATGGCCAACCGCAACAAAGATTAAAAGATTGACAGGAATGTGAAGGAAAGATAAACTAGGTTACTTATTCCAGACCTGTATGAAACACTGGAGGACACCCTTCCCCAAAACATCTGCTTTCTGTACTTTCCTGCTCACCTATAAAAATCACTGAATTTCCCTTGCTCATCCCCTTTTGACTTTCACAGAGAAACCTAACCCATCATTCTCCAGTAACTTATCACCATCATAGCTTCAGCCAGCTTTAGCCTTGCACTGATTAAACATCTAAAAGAGAAAATCTGTTTCTCTTCAACAATCAGTCATTGCGCTCCAGAGTTTCATATAGTGGGTATTTCCTTGGCAATTTTTCTTATGGAGGGGAAACAAAATAACTACACATCTCCAAACCCGAAATCTAGTGGTTCCAAACAGCTAACCAAGAAATTGGCTGCTAAAGAAACACAAATTTCACAGCTCTGTTACAGTCAATGCTCAAATTACGAAGTAGCTGCAAATCCAGGTTCAACGTCCACTACATTTTGGCTGCTCTGTGAATGACAGCACAACCTGATGATGTTTACAGGCCAAGCTCCGAACTTTAAAACGGGAAAAGGTAATTCTTAGGTTAGTACTGTACTGTCTTCGACTTCACTGGTGAATTTTGTCTCTTGAGGCTCAAGCACTACTTAAAAATGCAGATAACGAAACCGGCGAAAAGTAAGTTTCTGGTCGGAACGCCTGCCCAAGCGCAGCCTGACACAGCAGGGCCACACCGGGAAGGGCGCGGGCGGCCGGGGAAGGATCACAGCTCCGGGCAGCACACCGAGGTCAGCCGCACGGCGAGGGGCGGGGGGCACACCTGGGCGCGCTTCCTCCGGCCGCGCCGGCGCAGGCCCCGGACCCCCGCCCTTCCGATTCGCGGCGCGGCGAGGCGCCGGTTCCTTTGTTCCCCCGACGCGGGGGTAGAGCTAAAGCGGCGGAAGGCTCCCAGGGGGCAGCTCCCTCCCCGCCTGCCCCGCCGCGGCTAGACGAAGGGAGGCAGGTCCGCCAGGGGTCCTCCGACCCCACAGCCGGGCTGGAGCCGGCGCGAGGGCCAGAGCGCGGCCTGGGCCGGGGCTGCGGAGGCGGGGCGAGGCCCACCTCTCCCGCCGAAGCGGGGCCGCCGCGGTGGGGGGCGCGTACGCAGCCGCGTCGCTGCCAGGTGGCCCAGCTGCGGGCGGGGGGGGGGG